GATCACCGTGTGTTGTAGCCGCAGCCCGCCCCATCCGCCCATCCACAGAGATTGGCTCACGGCTCGCACCTGCCCGAGCACGGCTTGGACAACGTCTGTCTTGAGTAGCAAGCTGCGCGACGGCTGCTCGAAAGTGAAAAACACGCTCCTCAAGTTGGCAAAAAACAGCAAGTACGACCTGGGATCATCAGACATTTCGGGGGTGGAGGCTCAGAACGCGAGTCTGGCGTAGATCCCATCGACGGCTCACCGAAGCTCACCGCTTGGCGGTGAGATTCGGTGAGCTGTTCATCGGGCTACACACCAGACTCACGTAATCCTGGAATGCCAACTCCCATCCAAAACCGGTTCGATTGATGCATGGCTCTTGAGTCAAGCATGCGTTGATTTGGACCCGAGGCCTGGAAAACTAACATTGTGTTTAGATTTGTTCAAAACCCTCCCGACACAACTTGGGACATGTGCGCAGCCTCAGCCGCTGCGCGCGCACATGACGCAGAGCTCCGAAGTACACTGGAGGGTGAGATGTGAATGGACCCGCTGGGGGCCACCGTAGCCACGAGGTAGAGGCAGTACAGGAGCCCAACCTTCACTGGAAATTGCCAACAACAGTCCCCTGCCAACAGACACCACCCTCGACCAACAGGAAAATGACCCCATCAATCCCTTCGAGATCAATTCGAAGGGTTGCCAGCCCTGGAAAACCGAAACAACTCTAGGCTTGATTTTTCCTCACCCCGAGAACCGAGTAGCATATGTCTTCAAACATAGGTGCATCCCTGCGATCAAAAGTAAATGCTCTGAAGCGTGATCCCGATATCATGCTTGCAGTGTGCCCGATGCCAGAGCATATCTCGACGAATGCAGTGGTCCTCTCGATGTCAGCGATGCTCTCAATGAGAAACGCAATCGAACGCGAGAGCACAGCACGGCCGCTCCCCTGTGAAACGATGTCATCATCCAAGCCAGACTCTCGGAGAATCTGGGCTCTGCTCCGAGCCCACTCTGCCCCAGCCTCATGATGAGGTAGCCCGCCGAGTGCTGGCAACAGCAATTTGGTGATGATAATGATGCCAACTAGCTGCCACCTGCAATGAGCACCATGTTGTGCCCGACTGGCCAGAACGGACATATTCGAAGTAGCGACTGAAGGTGAAGCAGCCCAAATACTCGAACCTCAAATGTAACCCTGTGCGAGTACTTTGCGACGTCTCGGAGCGATGCGTTCAAGCTCTCGTCGATAAAACAGTTGTACATCTTTGGACTTCCGTGGATATCCACCCTGAGTGCGCTGAAGACTACATCCTCCTCCTCCTCCTCCTCCGCTGCCTCCCTCCTTCCCTCCCTCCCTCCCTCCCTCTCTCCATCCCTCCAGCCATCCCTCCTCTCTCCGTCCGTCATCCTCCCTCCACCTCCTTCCTCCGCATCCCCCCTGACAGCTCCTGGCTCGAGGTTTGGGCCCGTTTGCTCCACCCTGCCAACCTGAGAAACAAATGCCCAGAGAGGTGGTGTTTCGGGACGAAGGAAATCCCTGCTAACTTACAGCATCTTAAGTGGACAGCGTAAGACGATAACATCAGCTGGTGCGACGCACGAGGAACAACACACGTGTGCTCGCGCACGAGGTTAAGAAGAGTCTGTAGTGTCTCTCCACCGTGTATCATTTCGGGCCCAAAGACGCGAGCACCCCCATTTTGACGCAGAATGTGGATGGCAAATGGCAGCACGTGCCCGACTTCGGCCGCCTTCAGTGACATTGAGCTCCCAGGGTGCTTCGTCTTCTGACAGCCGAATTTTATCACGACAAAGGGAGGTGGGGGGGGGTGGCCGCCAACACACCGAACCATCGAAAACCTTGAGAATCTACCGGCCCCGATCTCCGAAAACATAGGATTTTGCGGCCCAGCATTGCCACTCCCCCCAGAACAGGAACTAAGACGCAAGTATAAAAAAATGGTTCCTGCAAGGTGTAGCCCTTGCGTTTGCCGAGCATCTTCGTCGTCAGGGCCCCCATTCGCTGTTGAGGTGGCATGCCTTGAGATTGCTGCCAAAACAGAAATTCACCTTGAAGCCTGCGACCCCCTGCCTCTACAACATCGTCAAGACCTCCTGGGACGCCCCATGGATTCGACAGTACCGTTCTCCATAAACTCGCACTCACGTACCGCATGACCGGCCCGAAGTAGAAAATATGGAGGCTATCGATCGCGATGCTTCGAACTGGGTTGCACGACAACTCATCCGAAAAAAGTGGGCAACGGTGTACCATCGGATCCATTATTTTCTTATCGTGTGAAAGGCGTGATCTCCACAGCGTAACTAGTACTGGCAGCTCTGTCGTCTCGAGTTGAAACGTGTCTACAAGATATTCTGACGGTTCAAGTCTGTCCCCTGTTTGGATCTCCACCCCATTGACAACTGCCGACTTCATCGCTAGTCTGCCCCGAATCCCCTTACCACCTTTTTGAAATGCTAGTACACGCAAGAGCTGTCTGCGGTGCTCTTGAGTATTCAGAAGCACGGTCACTTCACACCTTACGCACGCGTCATTATAATAGTTTTCGTTTCTCATAGGCCAAGTCACGTTCGTGTCAAACCCATCGTAACACGAGTGCAAGTCGGTACCGCATAGATCACACATCATGCATGGATTGAACACCGCACTCCAAGATTGCAACTCCATGAATTTGCCGTGATGATGGCCCGGGTGTTTAATTTGGGTTGCGTGTTTTTGCATAAATGTTGGCTGGGACTGTATGGTGGGCGGCTGGTTGTTGGTGATGGTTTTGTGCCCGCGATTATGTTGCGGTTTTTTTATTGGCGCCCTAGTGCCTATGTTCGGCCCAGTCCCCCTTGACCCATATGAGCGCTGCTGTATACCCAAAAACTTTAGGATCTTTAAAGACATGCCCATCTTCAAACGAACTACCATCGTGACGAAACTCAGGACGACATCCCCGTGGCATAGCGAGGAATTGCCACTTTGCATTTAGGAGGTGGGGGAATATGGTACACCAGCCGCGGCAGCCGCACTGACAGGAATCATACGATCTAGTGACCGAGAGGAGGTGGCGTTTGCCCGAGCACAAGTTCACAATCCACATGCCAAGCGTGGAGTCATTACGCCCAGCGGCAGAAGACATGTACGAAACGCCGTCGAGGTAGAAGGCGAGAGGCACGGGCAACTGCTTACCACTAGATATCGCACTGGCGACTGCGGGGTGGTTCTGATAGCACGGCAAATCCAAGATACATTCTTTTCGATCATCAGGGTCGGCATTCAGCATATCCAGGGTAGTTTGGTCGTTCTGAAGTTCGTCTTCTAAAGATTCAAATACAGCACACACTGGCGTTTGTCTGATGGTCCTTCGGGGGCGCCTATTGAGATTCACTGGCGTATCGATGTTGAACATGAAGGGGGCATGAGGAAGAACTTGTGATAGGTGTTTTTGGTACTTACCACTTTGCTGGTCTGGCTTTCATTTTAAAAATAAATTTTCAATTATTTTTTTTGTTTTAATTTTATTAAATTTGGTCTGGCTGTACAGCGTATTGTTGGAAGTCGGCCCCAGGGGTCCCAGCATTGTGAGCCCAATGACACATCAAACAAAATTCTTTTGCCGACAATTTACAAGTTGCATACATGCGTATCATCAAAGACAGAAGCTCAGCGCCTGCATCCCTGGCGCTCTGGGTGCCGATGGATATGCCTTGGCCTCGGCCTCGGCCGCGCCCAACCCTGAAGCAATGCCGTGCCCGCTTCATGTATTACGATGCCAAAAAAATATGGCGCCTACAATTAGCAACGCTTGGGCCGACACTCCTTTCGGTGTTGCGACGGGCCGCCGACGACAGATCGACATCACCAGTCTGTTTGATGTTAAATATGTTTGGCGTGTATGTGCCTGCCCGACCCCCCTCTAGCGTGACCTACCGAACAATTGCTGTTTTTTTTGCAACGCCCCCCCGAACTTTAAACGACGTGACTCGGTGCACAACGATCTATTGTGTTTGGCCAATAGTGTAGCGCCAATCCTAGATTCACTTCTAGGAACCCCGAACTGAACTAGCCGCTCGTGGCACTCTTGCGCCGTGAGCAAACGTACAAATTATAAGCGCCACGCAGAATCAGCCTGCAACGCGTGTGATCGAGTTGCCAGACATCTGTTCGAGCAATCTCGTGCCCCTCCCCTTCCCTAAAGTTCAACTCTGCTTCCCTCCTCGGGCCTTCAACCTGCGTGACTCTGGGCGTCGCATGACAGCCAGCCCCTGGCAGATGTCCAGCTAAGAAAAGAAGCGTGACAGCGCGAGATGCACAAGTTGCCGCGCGAAAACAACGGCCGTGCGGAAGCTCGACAAGGATGATTCGCACTACGGCTGATGTAATCAGACCTCGGGCACGCCTCTACCTTGGAAAACCTGAAGATTTCAAGCGAATGTCCAGAAAACGCAAGAAACAAATTGAAATCTCGAGAAAATTTCAAAGATCCCCGAAAATCCCGAGGCTCACCGGATCTCACCGCTCAGCGGTGAGCCCTCTGAGTGGGGTTGGGGGGGGGGCTCACCGGCTCACCGGTTGCAGGAAACCATGTGTTTTTACAGGTTTTGTGGTTGGCTCACCGGGTCACCGAACCTCACCGGTAGGCGGTGAGGGGGGGGGGGCTCACCGGTAGCGGTGAGCCTTCGGACGGTCCAGATTTCAGCGAGATTTCGTTGATTCTGTGTGCGCGCAGCCCGAATTTCAAAAAAGTCTGATTTCCACCTCCGCTTCGGCTCAATCGACTCTGCCCGACCCTTCCCCTCCCCTAGCACCCTCACCCTGCATTGGATTTCCCTACTCTCTCCTCTTTTCCTCCCTTCCCTCTCCTCCACCACCTCCTCTCCTCCCTCTTCCCTCTCCCTCCTCCCTCCCCCATTGTCAAAGAGAAGATGGCTCGAGCACTAGCGCAGACTCTCGTCGGCGCCTCTTGAAAACGAAGTAGCCAGCGCTGGCCACTTCATTAGTGCTTGCTGCACTTCACAGCAAAGATCTCCTGCACCGTTCCCGAGAGAGTCATCAGGCCCTGAACCATTACGTCCAATGTCTGGAGCTTCTGGAGCGCCGCCGAGAAGTCGAGGTCGCCGAGGCTCTTGCGCACCTTGCCGAGGTCCTCGGTGATGAGCCGATTCACGTTGCTCTCCTGGGCCAGGAACTCGTTCATCTTGTCGTAGTCAGCGAGGAGATTCTGGGCGTCGCTGTCGGTCGAGCCCCACTTCCACTTCGGGTCCTTGTTGATGCTCCTCTCGATCGTGATACACTGGCTCAAGCACTGCTGGTACTTGCTGATCGTCTTCTTGGCGGCAACCATGAGCTCCTTGATCGAGTCCGCCGCTCTGGGTTCTGGTGGAGCCTGAGCATGTTGACCTTTAGTTGCTCTCTTTGGCTTCTTGGTTGCAGGCTCTGGCTCAGGTGCGCCGCTGCCCGTCTCCTTGCTACTTGCGTGCCGCTTCGTGCTCGTGCGTGCTTCCTCCTCGATGGGGACGGTCTTCGACTTGTCCACTCCAGCTCCCGCGACTGCAGCATTGCCCTTGTCCTCCACGGGTGCCGACGCAGCGAGCGCTGGACCCTCAGCCTGCGTGCCCATGCGCCCTTCCAGGCGGCGCCTCTTCGTGACCGCAGACTCCACATCGTCCGATGCCCACTCTTGGTACTTGATCCACGCCTGCTCGAATGCCTCACTGTAGCCCTCGGTGACATAGAGGATGCGGATCGACTTCGTCACGCTGTCGTAGTAGAACCAAGGAGGTCCAAGCTGCAGGCGCTGTATGGCAATTCTGGTCGCCTTGGGCGGCCATTTTCTCGTCGTCGTCTCATTCGTCCTCCTGTTTCTCCTCCTCCTCCTTCTCCTCCTCCTCCTCCTCCTCCTCCTTCTCTTCCTCCTCCTCCTCATCCTCCTCCTCCTCGTCCTCCTCCTCCTCCCCCTTCTCCTGTAGCGGTGGCCTGCAACCATCCCAGAACTCCACCTCCTTCCAGATGCGCAACTCTACCAATTGGGATGTATTGGCCCTGCTTCCACGACGTCTTGGTGTACGTCTCCCTCTTGATCTTGCCCTCGCGGTAGTTGCCGTACTTCTCGCGGGCCCACTTGGCACGGAACGCCGCGGCCTCATCAGTGTCCCCCTCCTTCGCCTTGTAGTCAGCGCCGAGGCCGTCAGGATCCTTCTCGCACGCCCGCCTGAAACGACTGGCCATCGGGTTCCCCTTGGCCCCATTCGCGTTGAAGTTGAAACCTGAAGCCCGAGTCCGCTGCCACAGTTGGTGTTCTGCTTGGGCCTTCGGGTTCCACTGGCTGGTGTCAAGCTCGTCGAGCGCCTTGTCCATGGCTGCATCCACTGCCTCCTCCTGGCCTGGCATGTCGACCTTCGCGTCGCTGCCGAACTTCACGGCGCAGTGCTTGGCATCCATGCTCTCGACGGTGAAGCCTCTCTCCTCAACAAGGCTGCCGAGCTCGTCGGAATGGAGGCACTCCATCAGCATGGCGTGGGTCGCCAGCTCGTCGTAGGGGAGGGGTCGGGTGGGGGGGAGCGGGGTGGGGTGGGGGGGGGGAGGAGGGAGCGGAAGGGGGAGGCGGCGGTTTCGGGGGGGGGGGGGGGGGCGGGGGGGTGGGGGGGGGCGGGGCGGTGGGGGGAAGGGGTGGGCGCGGGCGTTGTCGCGGGGGGGGGCCTGCGGACAGGGCGGGGGGGGGGGGGGGGGGGGGTGGGCGGGGGGGAGGGGGGGCGGGCGGGGGACGGGGGGGGGGGGGGGGATGGGCGCCGGGGTCGGGCCGGCGGGGCGGGAGGGCGGGGGGGGCGGGGGGGGAGAGGTGGGGGGGGCGGGCGGGGGTCCGGGGGCCTTGCCCGAGAGTGTCAGCTGGTCCTCTCGAGATCCAAATGCCAATGAACGCATTCGTGCACCCCCCTGAGCTCCCTACACATTACAAAAGGGGGGATCATGCATTCTCACTCATACCGAAGCCTACCGACAGCGGCGAGACGTTGGAGACTGATGGTTGCGAGCTCCGTTCTGACGGCAGCCTCGCCACATCACCACGCCTCACCGCTGGCAGTGAGCTTAATTGTCAGCGTCGGTGGGATAGTTGATCCTACCTGGCGGTCCTCGACCTTGTTCATCCGAGCTTGCAGCGCCAAGAAGTGATCCTTCCTGGTCTTGGGCGGCGTCTCGAACGGCAACGTCTCCAAATCTGCCGGGGGGATCTCCTTTCTGGGGGTCGCCCAAAAATTGCTGGCTCACCGCCTCACCGAACCTCACCGCTGGACCTCACCGAACCTCACCGCTGGGCGGTGAGGTTCGGTGAGGCGGCAATTTCCTCCTCATATCCTCCTTCCTTCGCCTTTCCCTGACATCAGAGTGTTGCATTATTTCTCATCGATCCTTCTGGGGCGCTGGTGGCGGGGTCACGGGCTGCCGCTCCCGCTTGGAGCCGCCCGCGCTCACCTGCTCCTGGGCCTCCAGCTGGCGCTCCCTCTGCTCGGCGACCGCCTTCTGCAGCAGCTCCTCGACCTGGCTCGCCGTCGGCGGCCCCTGAGCGTCCTGGCACTGGCCTGACGCACTCGAACCTGCCGAGCTAGCTGGCTCTGGCTGCGGCAAGCGTGAGACCTTGCTCCCCTGCGGGTCCGTGGACGCGGCTGCCTCTGGGTCGCGGTCTGCTGGCACCTCGATCCCCTTCTTCCTCGCATCCTCCTCCGAGAGCTTGATAGCCATATTCATGTCCTGACGGAGCTTCTCCTCCTGCTCAACCTTCTCGGCCTCGCTCTTGGCAGACTCGTCCATCGCCCGCAGCAGCTCCTCGTCATCGGTCGGTAAGTTCTGCTCGACACCGTTGCTCTCGGGGCTGGAGTCCTGCACTTCGACGACCTCGACCTGCTGCAGAGGCGAAGGTGGCTGCGGGGGGGCTTGGTGGGCAACGTTCGCCGAGCCCTCAATCTGCATGGGCGGCTGAGACTGCTGGTCTCGCTGCCCCTGGGCCATCTGCTCCTTCATCTGGCGGAGCGCCTCCTCTTGCTTGCGGATGATCTCCATGAGTGTGTCTTGCGACAACGGCTGAGCTGAGACCTGCAAGCAGTTCCCACCGTTCAGGTTCGGCAGGGCCGCGGGAATGGTGGCCGCGGCGGTGTCCACAGACGCTGACTGCGAGCCGCTCCCATCGAGCTCGATGGGACGATGTGAATGCTGCGTCGCCTGCGTGAGCGCGTCCACCTCCGTGGATCCAGCGTGATCGCCTGCAGCGGCGTCGGATGCGGACATCGCTCCACTGCGAATGCTTCAGGACGCACTGGCGAAGACCCCTCTCGCGAGTCCGAACATATGGCGCGCTCGAGCCAGAATTCTACACGGAGAACCGATATCTGGAGGTCTGGTTTGGCTCTGTGGGGAGGGGGCAGGGGCGAGCATATATGTTGTTTCCCCTTGCGAAGCACCGCTAACATTCACGACATCGTGTTGCGACGAGGAGGTTTAAACCGACATCAAACATACTATCACTGATACTTGCATTCGTTGGCTGCTCGAGTTTCCATGGCTCGGTGACTAACACCACGGGTCGTTTGATTCGAACATTCGCCATGACAGGGTGTGTTTCAGCTCGTTGCTTCTGACTCCACAGGCGTTCGCGAAAAAAGGCACTGCTTGGCGCAATAGCCCGCCGCCTCTGTCGCGCAGCTCGGACAGCCGAATAGGCGAGGCCAGATCGGCCGCTCGATCTCACCGAGCGTGAGACAGATGCGCCATGCATGTCTGAAACAATATTGCTTCCTCCTCCTCCTGCTCCTCCTCCTTCTCCTGCTCCTGCTCCTCCTCCTGCGCCTGTCCCCTCATCTCCTCCCCCCCTACCCTGCGCCCCTCCATGGGGCCGCCCACCAATTATTGAGGTAAGAGGGCCGCCACGTGACCGCCACGAGAAAGCATCAAAACAGCGAGCGCAGGGGCTCGGCCGTGTGCGCGCGGCCAGGACGGCAGCGCTGACGGGTCACATTGGCCTGACCAGCCACGTGCATTCGGCTGAATATTTCACCCGAACGCGGACTCTGGGATGGGATCACACTCGGGGATATGCGTCGGTGACGGCGCATCCTGCACGAGCTCCCTCGGAGCCCTCGGCGGCGGAGTCGACGGTACAGACTTCGCAGCTTTCGGGATCGCAGACTGAGCCTTCGGGATCGCTGCAGACTGAGCCTTCGGGATCGCTGCAGACTGAGCCTTCGGGATCGCTGCAGACTCAGCCTTCGGGCTCTCTGCGGGCACACTCGGGGCGTTGGGCGCTGGCGTCGGTGGCGTCACAGCGGCAGGCCTTCGCAGGACGGTGTGCTCATCACCTGCGTCGCCGCCGTCTTCAGTTTCACCGTCGTGTTCGCCATCATCTCCAGAACCGGAACCCTGGGAGTCCTCCTCATCATCTTGATCTTCCTGAGGGTCGTTCGCAGGGACCTCAGCGTCGGCATCGCCTGCACCGCCAGCGGGCTTTGCTGCTGCTGGACGCTTCAGGGTCGCCATCGCCTTCGTGTTCTCCTTGACCCATTTCCGTTTGCTGTCCTCGATGCCATCTTTGTCGATGGAGCCCGCCGCGAACAACTTGGCCTGCGAGACGAAGAAGTCCTTGTACTTCTGAATCTCCTCGGGCCCCTTCACGACGAGCTGAGAACGCTGCGAGGACCCCTCCCAGATCACAATCCACTGCTTGGCCTGCTTGTGGTTGTTCACGACGGTCACCTTGACCTTCGCGTCGCCTTTGGAGCCCTCCCACAAGAGCGTAGCTGCGGCTGGAACTGCAGCATCGGCAAGGCTCGCATCGTCAGCCTCGAGGCCCGCGACCTTCGAGAAGTGCGAAAAACCTCATCCTCATTCCTTCCTCCAGCATCCTTCCGATCCTCCCTCCCCTCGTCTCCCTCCCCTCTTCTCCTTCCCCACACCCCTCGCCAGTCCTGCATCTACACTGTGTCATTCGACATTCAGTTTACTGTTGGGTTCGGTTATTGGCCCATGGATGCATGCGTTGGCCCCCGACCTTCCACAGGAAACCGTCTGGCCATGTTGCCACGGGACCGTCGGCAGTTTTCTTGATGGTGGCGTATTCTGGTTGGGCGTTCGTGCCGTCGGAATCCTTGATTCTCCAGGCAGCCTTGCGCCGACGCGTAACACTTTCAGCACGGTGCCCATTTGGTCTGCTTTGCCCCACGGTCTTGGGCGGTCCTGGATCCAGGGGAGGGGGGGGCAGGGCAGACGGGATGGGCAGCGTGCTGACAGTTTTGAGCGTCGGCGCCTGGAGCTCTTTCTCAAAGCCGAGTTTCCAACCCTCCTTGACGTCGACGTGCGCGAGCCGACTCGATGAACCAGCCGAGGATGCCGCCGCCGCCGCTGGCCGAGCTCTCTTCGGGCACGGTTCCTCCTGGGGGTCGGGCTCATCCGTTCCTCCTCCCCATCCCCACCCGCCATTCGTCGACCTCTTCGCCCTGTCTTCCTCGTCCTGGCCTTGACCAAGGACGGGGCAGACGAGGACAAAGAGGTTGGCGTTATGACGGGAAGGGACATGAGGCCGTCCAGTTTGCCCCATGTCCTCGCCATCCTCATCACCGAACGCGTCCGCCGCCCACTTCGGAGGCGGATCCCTGGTGAGGTCAGGTCCTCCATTCCTCCTTCCTCCCTTCCTCCCTCCTCCTCCTCCCTTCTTCCTTCCTCCCTCATCCTATCCTCCTCCTCCCTCATCCTTTCCCCCTCCCGCCCTCCTCCTCCTCCTCTTCCTCCTCCTCCTCCTCCTCCTCCCTTCCTCTTCCTTCCTCATCACGTTTCATGCCACACGGCCTCGACAACGCCTTGGAGCAATGCCGAATCATCGCTCGAATCATCCAGGACTGTTCGTGCGCCCAGTCGACCTTGGCGTCCGCGAGCTTCCACGCGTCTTCGCGCATGGTCGCGACGCGGAGCATCACTTCCTTTGGGGCGCGATCCAAAGATGGTCAAACCCAAAGGCCCCTCCTGTTCCTCCTCTATCCTCCATCCTCCTCCTCCCCCCCTCCTCCTCACTCCCTCCTCCCTCCTATCCTACCCCCGCCTCCTCCTCCCCTCCTCCTCCTCCTCCTCCTCCTCTTCATCCTCCTCCTCCTTCTCCTCCGCCTCCTCCTCCTCCTCCGCCTTCTGGTCAGAGATAGAGGGTTTGGAACGGGGGGTCCTCGGCCATGCTCTGCGAGACCCCGCCAGCCTTGAGCGTCTTCATGGTCTCCGAAAGCATGGCCTGCCATTTCACGAGCTTCTCCTTGTCCATGTCCTCCTGCAAGTTGGTTGTGTACTCCAACCTGGGCTGATCCTCCTCCTTTTCTCCCTCCTCCTTCTTCCCCTCTTCCTCCTCCTCCTCCTCCTCCTCCTCCTCCTCCTCCTCCTCCTCCTCCTCCTCCTCCCCCTCCCACCTGCTTTCCCTCCTCCCTCCTCTCTCCTCCTCCACCTCCTCCCTCTCCTCGTCCTCCTCCTCCTCATTCTCCTCCTCATCC